CATTCTAGTGACAACCATCCAAGAGTAGACCATGAAAAGCTTCCATGGTATCTTTGAGACCTGCAGAGGAGGCGTGGCCACACCCAGGAGCGAACACCCAAATATCTGCCATGGTGGCATATGGACTCTATAAAAAATGGGGGAGGGGCTTTTCTATATACAAGAACGCCTCCACTTCAAAAGCCAACCCCACCCAACACCCTGGTGGGTCAGCTCCTGCACACTACCAGGGCAAGGTTTAGTTTCCACCCGCCTTAGAGTCGCCAATCTCTCATTGATACCCCAATTATTTTCTTCCTATGGAGAAATAAATCAAGGGTGAAGTCATCAGGCATGGCGATGGGCTTGAAAACCCGGTGGAGAGACGTCATCACTGCTGTTCCTGGGACAGTTCAAGTTCCTATCAGCCACATGGAGATATGCCGCCTATGCCTACGTCAAAGCAAAAGTTTCTGGCCTATGTGGCGCCTCTCGTGCGAGACGAGGGATGACTTCTTGGAGAAACGCTTCCCACACATAGGGCAGGAGAAGGGCTTGTCGCCCGTGTGAAGCCTCTCGTGCAGGGTGAAGCTGGACTTGTACTTGAAGCACTTGCCACAGACGGAGCAGGTGTACGGCTTAACGTCCGAGTGAATCCGCTTGTGGATCAGCAGGTTGGGTTTCTGGTTAAAGCATTTCCCACACACCGAGCAGGAAAATGGCTTCTCGTTGGTGTGAATCCGCTCGTGGACCACCAGGTAGGCCTTCTGCGTGAAGCTCTTCCCGCAGTGAGAGCAGGTGTAGTCGTAGGTGCCCCTGTGGTTCCGTTCGTGCCGGCCGAGGCCCGATTTCTGCGCAAAGCACTTGCCACACTCTGAGCAGGAGTACCGCTTCTTCCCGTTGTGAGTTCTTTGCTGCGAAATGAGGGTGGCGCCCCCTGTGAGGGCTGAATGACAGACGGCGGGGTCAGGTGACAGATCCGGCCTGTGGAGAATTGAGCGGAGGTCTGCGCTCAGGGTTATTCGTTTTTCTACGACGTTGATGTCCTCGTCTACGTCACCCACTGGAGAGAAAGCGGGGTGCTGATACCCGAGGTTGTGTTCATCTATAGAAGATAAAGAGATAGAGATTGGATACTCTATATGGCCAAACATGGTGGACACCCCTCCAAGATTATACCAAGACATTGTTCTTCCAGTCTTGGTGGAGGACCATTTCTGGTCCACCATGACTGTCCCCTGTAAAGCCAGCTCCATAAAGTCAGGGTTTGTCGAGCTTAGTGTGGAGGAACTTGACTGAACCTCATAAAACCCTGACCTCAACTCTATTGACCACCATTGAGATGAACTGGAATGCCAATTACAAGGTAAATCTTCTCGTCCAACATCTGGACCTGACCTCACTAATAATATTCTAGCTGAATGGCGAGAAGACGTCTAGCACTCCGAAAGCTTACCCCTAGGCCTGTAGGCTTCTATGGCAGCCAAAGGGTGGGGACTTGCCAACCCCATATTAAAAGGAGAACTATGTGGTGAGTGATTTTCACTCAGCCTCATATTTCGAGCCGAGGTTTGACAATGAAACTGTCACAGGTCGGCTCAATAGACGCATGTCCCCTGTAAAGCTGGCTCTGCCTCTATATAGGCGGAGCCAGCTGTCAATCACGCAGCTGGGTGGATCTCGACAGTAGTGTCGGGATCCATCCCGGCTGTGGTGGTCTCAGTATACTGCGAGCTATAGCTCGCTATATACTGAGCTTTGGGTGACGGGAGGACACTAGTTTATTCCCCCCCCCAAACCATGAGGAGAACTATGGAGAAAAACACTGACCCCATAGTTCTCCTTCAATGCCCTTGGTTACTATGTAACTATCTATCCATCCCAAAAGCTGGTGGACACTCGACCATCACATCTGTTGGATATCCCATTCTAAAACCAAGGGCATTAATATGGGGTTGGCCAGTCCGCTCCCCTTCTGCTGCTATAGAAGCCTCCAGGAAGGATAGATAGATAGATAGATAGATAGATAGATAGATAGATAGATAGATAGATAGATAGATAGATAGATAGATAGATAGATAGATAGATAGATAGATAGATAGATAGATAGAACCTCACCTATGCTGATCTCTGGAGGGATTTCCTCCTCCTGACCCAGCTCGTCATCCTTCTTCTCGTCTTCAACTTTAATAATAATCAGATTCTCGTCCTAGACATAATACAAAGCAGTGAAGGTAATACCTTTTTTAACAAGGCCAGATTTATCATCTAGTAGAAGACTATCAGTAGACACAATAAAGCAGAGGCCAGGTTTTGTATTAATATGCTAATTTGACCTACTTGATAATCCTGTGTGAGGCTGTAATCATCCTGAGGGATCTCATGATGTTCCTGTGTGAAGTCCCAGGAATACAGAGGACGGGTCTGAGGGATCTCATGATGTTCCTGTGTGGAGTCCCGGGAATACAGAGGACGGGCCTGAGGGATCTCATGATGTTCCTGTGTGGAATCCCGGGAATACAGAGGACGGGTCTGAGGGATCTCCTGATGTTCCTGTGTGGAATCCCAGGAATACAGAGGACGGGTCTGAGGGATCTCCTGATGTTCCTGTGTGGAGTCCCAGGAATACAGAGGACGGGTCTGAGGGATCTCCTGATGTTCCTGTGTGGAATCCCAGGAATACAGAGGATGGGTCTGAGGGATCTCATGATGTTCCTGTGTGGAATCCCGGGAATACAGAGGACGGGTCTGAGGGATCTCCTGATGTTCCTGTGTGGAATCCCGGGAATACAGAGGACGGGTCTGAGGGATCTCCTGATGTTCCTGTGTGGAATCCCGGGAATACAGAAGACGGGGACATCTCTCTGTGGTATTTCTGTTCCTGGATCCATCTGTAGGAGACACACACACTGACTGAATACATTGTTTCTATGTCTTTATATCAGAGGATGTGTGTATCTAGGGGGATCCTCAATACTCAAGAAATGAAAGTCTCCTCTTACCCGGTGATGTGAGGGGCGGCCGGTTCTCCATCACGACGTCCTTGTAGAGATCCCGGTGTCCTTCTAGATACTCCCACTCCTCCATGGAGAAATAGACAGAGACATCCTGACACCTTATAGGAACCTGACACACACAATGATACAGTCACCACCCAGACACATCCCTTGTCTGTTCCTGGATCATGTCCCAGAATTCCTGGCACCGCTCACCTCTCCCGTCAGCAGCTCGATGATCTTCTGGGTGACTTCTAGGATCTTCTTGTCCTTGTTGCTTTCAGGTGTCGGGAAGGAAGGTGGAGGCTCCGTTATGGGGCTCTGGATCCTGCTCCATCCTTCTACCACACGAGGACGGTTGCTGCATGTCACAAGCTGACCGAATGTTTTTACTAATATATAATCCTTTGAAAGAGATAACGTTACATTACATAGATATTTCACATTCCACATTAATACAACCCTGTGTGATGTCATGTGACCTCCCAGAATCCTCCTCACCTCTCCGGTCAGCAGGTAGATGATCTCCAGGGTCAGGTTTAATATTGTCTTGGTCATGTGACTCCTGTCCTTGTCCGGTGCACTTTGCTCCTTCTGGAAGGTTCCGGTCATGATGAAACTGTGTACAGAAGTAAAATGAATGTGGATATAAAGATTACTCAGACCGGGAACTAGAACTTTGAAGTAGAGACACCCCGAGGACTGCAATCTACAGACGTGTCTTACAGCTTGAACACGTATGTGCAATCATGGGGGAATATTGGGGCTCTCATAATGAGATGTCCCCATCATGAGTAGCCACACCGCACATGTGCACCCTAAGGATGACACCAGAGTGGGCACAATGCTAAGGACCCCGGCCACCCTAAGGATGACACCATACCCCGGCCACCCAAAGGATGACACCCGAGTGGGCACAATGCTAAGGACCCCGGCCCCCCTAAGGATGACACCCGAGGGGGCACAATGCTAAGGCCCCCGGCCCCCCTAAGGATGACACCCGAGGGGGCACAATGCTAAGGCCCCCGGCCCCCCTAAGGATGACACCCGAGGGGGCACAATGCTAAGGCCCCCGGCCCCCCTAAGGATGACACCCGAGGGGGCACAATGCTAAGGCCCCCGGCCCCCCTAAGGATGACACCCGAGGGGGCACAATGCTAAGGCCCCCGGCCCCCCTAAGGATGACACCCGAGGGGGCACAATGCTAAGGCCCCCGGCCCCCCTAAGGATGACACCCGAGGGGGCACAATGCTAAGGCCCCCGGCCCCCCTAAGGATGACACCCGAGGGGGCACAATGCTAAGGCCCCCGGCCCCCCTAAGGATGACACCCGAGGGGGCACAATGCTAAGGCCCCCGGCCCCCCTAAGGATGACACCCGAGGGGGCACAATGCTAAGGCCCCCGGCCCCCCTAAGGATGACACCCGAGGGGGCACAATGCTAAGGCCCCCGGCCCCCCTAAGGATGACACCCGAGGGGGCACAATGCTAAGGCCCCCGGCCCCCCTAAGGATGACACCCGAGGGGGCACAATGCTAAGGCCCCCGGCCCCCCTAAGGATGACACCCGAGGGGGCACAATGCTAAGGCCCCCGGCCCCCCTAAGGATGACACCCGAGGGGGCACAATGCTAAGGCCCCCGGCCCCCCTAAGGATGACACCCGAGGGGGCACAATGCTAAGGCCCCCGGCCCCCCTAAGGATGACACCCGAGGGGGCACAATGCTAAGGCCCCCGGCCCCCCTAAGGATGACACCCGAGGGGGCACAATGCTAAGGCCCCCGGCCCCCCTAAGGATGACACCCGAGGGGGCACAATGCTAAGGCCCCCGGCCCCCCTAAGGATGACACCCGAGGGGGCACAATGCTAAGGCCCCCGGCCCCCCTAAGGATGACACCCGAGGGGGCACAATGCTAAGGCCCCCGGCCCCCCTAAGGATGACACCCGAGGGGGCACAATGCTAAGGCCCCCGGCCCCCCTAAGGATGACACCCGAGGGGGCACAATGCTAAGGCCCCCGGCCCCCCTAAGGATGACACCCGAGGGGGCACAATGCTAAGGCCCCCGGCCCCCCTAAGGATGACACCCGAGGGGGCACAATGCTAAGGCCCCCGGCCCCCCTAAGGATGACACCCGAGGGGGCACAATGCTAAGGCCCCCGGCCCCCCTAAGGATGACACCCGAGGGGGCACAATGCTAAGGCCCCCGGCCCCCCTAAGGATGACACCCGAGGGGGCACAATGCTAAGGCCCCCGGCCCCCCTAAGGATGACACCCGAGGGGGCACAATGCTAAGGCCCCCGGCCCCCCTAAGGATGACACCCGAGGGGGCACAATGCTAAGGCCCCCGGCCCCCCTAAGGATGACACCCGAGGGGGCACAATGCTAAGGCCCCCGGCCCCCCTAAGGATGACACCCGAGGGGGCACAATGCTAAGGCCCCCGGCCCCCCTAAGGATGACACCCGAGGGGGCACAATGCTAAGGCCCCCGGCCCCCCTAAGGATGACACCCGAGGGGGCACAATGCTAAGGCCCCCGGCCCCCCTAAGGATGACACCCGAGGGGGCACAATGCTAAGGCCCCCGGCCCCCCTAAGGATGACACCCGAGGGGGCACAATGCTAAGGCCCCCGGCCCCCCTAAGGATGACACCCGAGGGGGCACAATGCTAAGGCCCCCGGCCCCCCTAAGGATGACACCCGAGGGGGCACAATGCTAAGGCCCCCGGCCCCCCTAAGGATGACACCATACCCCGGCCACCCAAAGGATGACACCAGAGTGGGCACAATGCTGAGGACCCCGCCCACCCTAAGGATGACACCAGAGTGGGCACAATGCTGAGGACCCCGGCCACCCTAAGGATGACATCTGAGTGGGCACAATGCTAAGGACCCCGGCCACCCTAAGGATGACATCTGAGTAGGCACAAAGCTAAGGACCCCGGCCACACTAAGGATGACACCCGAGTGGGCACAATGCTAAGGACCCCGGCCACCCTAAGGATGACACCTGAGTGGGCACAAAGCTAAGGGCCCCGGCCACCCTAAGGATGACACCTGCTAGGGCACAATGCTAAGGACCCCGGCCACCCTAAGGATGACATCTGAGTAGGCACAAAGCTAAGGACCCCGGCCACACTAAGGATGACACCCGAGTGGGCACAATGCTAAGGACCCCGGCCACCCTAAGGATGACACCCGAGTGGGCACAATGCTAAGGCCCCCGGCCACCCTAAGGATG